CCCCAAAACCCCAAAACCCCAAAACCCCGTTAGTAAAGATAGATGATAATAAATTCGATCTTTAAATTTATTAAATGAGTGACAATATAACTACGAAAACAGCTATGCTTACCAAAGATAGCATCTCAGAGCTAAGTGCTTAGACTATGACTACAAATCTGACTAATACCTCAAATGTAATAAACTATAAACTCAAACTTAAGCAAATAAGTGATACACTGAAAGATATTGATAACAGTAAGTTAAATTGTAAAATGATTATATTTAGGTTAAACTGGCTTTGTGAAGTCAAGCACATTTCAGAATCTGGTAGAGATCACCGTTGAATAAGTTGATCATGAAATCCTGAGAAAGATTATCAATAAGTACTAAAAATCAGATGACAAGCATCTTATAGACTACAGTAAAGCACTTAAGACTTTATTCTTAGCAATGAAGATAAAACATAAGCCCAATCCACACTAATCAAATACAAGAAATTAAGATAACCAATCAACTCTGTCTAACTATCAAATGAGTGTTAATATCAGCTACAATAATAAAGAAGACAACAGTAGAAATGTAAAAGAATAACAGTTATCTGTTGGTCATAACAAACAGAGCAAATCACTTAATAGCTAAATTAGGCCACAGTCAGTTATAGTAGAAAAGGAGAGCTAGAGATAAAGTGTGGTTTCAGGCAAGGAATCCTTTCAGTCTAGCATCAAGGAGTAGCTTGGCAATAGAGACAAGAATAATATTTGCAGAATAAAGGATATGATATACAACTGTGGAGAATACACCATGGGCGATGAAAATTCAAAAATGGATATAAACTTTAAAAAAAACTCTATGGAATTCCCTGACTACTTCAGAGACAAAAACCAACTCACTGGCGAGGTAGAAGCTTACAATTCTAAGTTTAAACAAAGCCAGTTAAAGAAACGCATAGCTTTAATACCCTAGATTCAGCTGCAATCACAACCAATAGAAACTCAAAGCAATGCCGCTTGCAGTATCATTGACAACAAAACCAATACAAACACTCATTTTATGTAGCAATTGTTGTAAAACTCTAAAGAAGAGGCAGATTCTCTTATGAAGATAATGAAAAGTCTTCATCATAACAGCATTGATTTTTGAGTCTTGAATAACATGAGATAACTCTATCTGATTAGAGACACCGAAGAGAACGGCAGACTAAGCCTGCAATAGTTCTTGGAGATATTCTCTCAGGTAACTAAAAATGCATGGCAGTAAGAATGCTAGTAACAGTTCATAGCCTATATTTCAAGTATGGAGTTGCTTTTAAATATTTAAAAATTATAGATAGTAATCTTGATTAAGTCAACAATACAAATGGGGGAATAGTAGAGTTTGAAAAGCTTAATAGAGTGATTGATCTTTATCATTACTTCCCAAGCCACTAAAGAAATAGAGGAAAGAACCAAAGCTCTGAAATGTACTACGTCCTCTCTTCAAATAAGGCTGATAAGCATGGTGCTCTTAACCTTGTAATTATTTCGAAACCGTTTTATATATTTTAAGGAATAAAAAGATTAATTGCTGGATAATATGGATCATCTTTGGGAAAGAATCAGCTCTAAGTACTACAAAACAGCTAATGCTTTCAAATACTTAGACATCAATAAAGTAACCTCTCATTTTGGGTTCATTGTTTCTAGAATGGCAAAGTCTCCTTTAATGAGTTCATGTTTGGCTGTGAAAATCTTGGGATGAAGTTCACATAAAAGGACTTGCATTAAATATTCGTGTACTTGGATAAGAATCAAGACAGTATGATAGACTACAATGAATTCTGCAATCTGACTGAGGAAAAACGCAAGAATATAGATCCATTTTAGAATGCTGAATAAAGATAAAAAGCTATTGATAGCCATAACTAATCAAGACTGGGAAGCATAGGGTAGAACAGCATGATTGAGCAAGATGAGACTAAAATATTTGAGAAGAAGAAGCATTTATTTGATCCTTAGCATTATTTGGGCAAGAACTCCAATTAAATAGCAGAACAGAAGGATGAAATAGATCATTGCATCAGTGTTAAACTGGCTTAGTATAAAAGCAGGAAGCTATAGCAAAAATTTCTTGATTCCTCGATTAATGATCAAGAATCTATTTTGAAGCATAATCAGCTGAAAAGAGATACTGAGGGGAAATATATAAGAGATCTCGATTCGACCCCTTCAATTAGAGATACTATTTAAGAATAGTATAAAAGTGTTGTAAGGCTAAATAAAAGCTTTAATGATAGAGGATACGGAAGAAGGATAGATAGAGACGACAAAGAGATTGGCAGTTTGATGAATCATGAATATCAACAAAAATATCTTTAAGATGCTTTGACTAATGAATATAAATACTAGAATTAGATAGACACCTAGAAAGATAGGTTAAAGAAACAAAGGTAGAAAGACCTTGACAATTATGTAATAAGACTGAATAAGAAGAGGGGATAAAACATTGCAAGCAATAGCAATAATAATTCCTAGCTTGTGACTTTAAGTTAATCAGTAAGTAGAAACGGAGAGCAGTCTAGAAACTAAAGTCATAGTCATACAATCAGCTTGAATAAGTTTGGACTAATGAAGAAGTAAAATGTGGACCCTAGGATATATCAGTCCATTGGGGAGAATATTTATAGAGATAATAAGTTAGATCCACTATTTAAAGGAGGACTTAACAATTAAGCAATCAACTAAAGAAGTGTCTTTGATTCAGAGAAGAAGCGCAGATCTCTTTCAATTTTACCAATTGCTTAGCAGTCTGCAGTTGTAACATTACCAGATGCATTGGCTAATCATAAAGCAGCAGAGATTCCACTGATTAATGATAGAAGCAGATCTAAGGATCTGTATAGATCAGTAGATGTGCCTTTAAAGGAGATTTATAGTAGATCGATAAACAAAGGAGAGAGGCTGAATACAGCTGACAGTACGATGTCTTATCTCTCAGATGCTAAGAATAGTCTGATGAATAGACAAAACTTGAGTAAAAATGCCAATATTATTGGTAATAATTCTAATATAAAAGATATCATGATTAGAAATAATGATATAAACCTGCATACTCAGAAGAGGAATACTATGGCATAGCTTAAAAAGCCTATTCAATTATGATTTATAATAATTAAGTGAATTAATCAATTTCACAGATTAGAATAGATCTTTAATTTCATAATTTACCAGTAAAAATTTAACTTTATTATATGAACGTTTAATTCCAAATTTTAAATCTTCTTAAGATTACTTACTAACAATCTCAAGCTTTTCTATATCATAAATTAACCTAATTACTTAAAACTAACGATTTACCCAAAGTAACATATAACTCCAAACATGCTCAAAACGCCCAAAAATTTGCACTAGTCTTTTGACTTACACTCTCAGAAGAGTTTTAATTTTGCTGAGGAGGATTAAGCCTTTGATATCAAAGAGTGCGACTCACTAATGGACAGGTTAAGAGAGATAGAGATGGATCTATAGACTCCATATTTGGAAAAGAAATCTTAACAGCATAGATCAGTGGCTAGTGGCCGCTAGCTAGAATTCGACATTGAAGGTATGTACATGTCATCTCTCTCATCCCAAGTATATTAATATCATTCTATATAGATGAACTGAAGAGTGCTATAAATGAGATAAGTGAGAGGGAAAAGACTTGCAAACAGATATTGCAAATATGTCAGTTTTTTGCCAATCAGTGTCAGAAATTCAGCACCTCTACTATTGACTAGACAGATCTCATAGCTGAGCTCCAAAGAACCAATATATCACTACAGATACAAAATGATCAAATAATCAAAGAAGTTACAGATATGGTACTTAAGGTATCAACTCTGGAGCAGGAGATTCAAGAACAGTAAAAGCTAATCAGAGAACTTCAAGAGAGTAATCGCCTAAAGGTACAGGAAATCAAGTCATTAAACACTGATAATAAGTTGTTGAAGAATTCAGAGAAGTTGCTTACTAGTCAACTCAAATATATTGAAAGAGGGGATGCTGAAAAGAGTGATACTTCCCACACAGTTCCTAAGAGCACTATGAATACCAGCTAGCAGCACTTTAGCTTTAAAGATGAAGAAAAAGAAAACAAGCCTACATTGTTGAATAAATATGATAAAAACTCATCAGCAAGCATTGAGTAATTAATCTAGTAAAAAGATTTTTAAATAGAACAACAAAGCAAAAAGATTAAAGGCATGATTGCAGAGATTCAAGAAAAAGATAAGACGATCCTGAAGTAGCAAGATAAGATCAAGAGTCTGGAATTGTAAAACTCAAATCTCAAGCAGGAATGCCAATAACTTAAGACCAAATTAGAAACAATTGCCAGAGAAAAGGAAGAGGAGCATAAGACTCTTATGGATTAGCAAGCTGCAGCAATTAGAACAAGAAAGAATAGTAAGAACAGTCTGGTATAGCTAGAAAAGCCATTTGTAACCAATCCTAGTCCAAATGGATCTGAAAGTGGTATATCACCATTGAATAAACAATTTGCAGATAATGATTCATTTAATGGAGAGGACATAAGAGATAACAATTCATCACCTCTATCACATGCCTTCTTTAATGATTCTCCTTCATTGAACTCTTTTAAGGGCTTTACCTTGTATCAAACAAACAATGAATCTTAGCATTAGTACTAGACTTAAACCACCTAGAACTAATACTTCACAAGCAAGCAGGATTCATCTAAAAAATGTAGTTGCCAGAGTAGTTCACCTGCTGTTAGTTCAAAGCCAAAGTCAAGCAAGAATCTCAATCTCTATTAAGACTTTGATGAGCTGGTGAGAGAGTCTTCTATCATTGACAATCATGAAGATGAGATCGAGAAGAGACTAGCAGAGCCAACATTGATGGTAACCAAGAAGAGAAGTAACACTTTCATCAAGACTAAGAGAGTTGATGCTGAAGTGGAGTTCTTTAAGATGCTTGTCCTGGCTTACAAGCTGAACTTCCCAGAGATGAGCAAGATTTGTCAGATCAACTCTGAAAAACTATACTAGAGAGCAAAGAAAGAGGGTGTGACCTTCTATAAGTATCACGAGTGGATTGAGAAACAGATGAATGCTTAGACTTTAAGTGTTTTATACTCATTCACTAAGTTGTATAACGGTGATGACGACAATGAAAGTCAAAATTTAAACGACAGCTCATTCATCTAAGGTAATAGGGAAAGAAGAATGAGTAGAATTGAGAAACTTAAGATTAGAAAGCAGTAGATATCTCAGGCTATTAATGATCAAAGGTGCATAATCATGTGATGAGTCTCTCAGTGTAAACGGAATTAATAACAATCAATTTTTAACTACTTAATCTATTTTAATTTAATTGACTTATTGAATGTTTAATCCTGTAATGTCTTAACTCTCTGAATACTTATCTTCAATATTTGTTTGCGGGGTTTTGGGGTTTTGGGGTTTTGGGGTTTTGGGG